CCCCAAAACCCCAAAACCCCAAAACCCCATGAAGTAAAAATTTATTGATGTCATAGAATATGGGAATAATATAAATCTCAAATTATAATTAATAAAGTAAAAGAAATGTCAAACAATTAGAGAGATAAGACAACCAAGCCATTTTACTTTGATCCCGAACAACACGAAATTCCTTCCAGAGCTGAAGATTACAACAAGAGTCCAGCATATGTAGAGGCCAAGGACTTAGATTTCAACTGTTAAACATATGCTTATGCTTACAGTTAAACTGTGGTGAGAAGACTTGCTGCTGAGCAGCCAGACTTCTTTGAAGAGAATGGAACTACCAAGCTAGATTTAATCATGCATCTCGTTAATAACATGTGTTTACCTGTCACAAAATATAAGAACAGAATGTTTAGAGAAAGAACAGCAGAAATTAAGTCAGAATATCATCTCAAGGATGAGATTAGAAGATTATCTAATGGAGGTGATAAATTCCATCCATACATTTGAACTATGGTTGATGAACTAAGGGCTAAAGTATCCAAAGATGAAGCTTACTCACTTATTGCCAATGAGATCTGTGTTATGGTGGTTTTATCTTTAATGCAAGCCCAATTTATTTAAACTTAACAATTAACATAATTTATCACAATTAAATATAAATGATTTCTAATAATTATAGGAAAAATCATCATTGTTATATTTTGAGGCCAAAGTTGCCATAGAAGGAAGTGCTTCCGAACTCTGTGTAGTTGGCTACTCTTCTACTTTTCTTAGGACTCTCTGAATTTTTTTCACTTTTACGTTTCTTATAATTATTTACAATCATTGGCTCAATACCACTCTGCTTGCGAGGAGGCTTCACTTCCTTATCAATATCATCTGAGGGCTTAAATTTAGTATTTTCAAGGTTCTCTTGAGTAGTCTATTGTTTATTATTTTACAAATTTTTATTAAGTCGACTTGAAGTTCTTTTATATTCTTAGACTTAAGTAGGTAATTAATTTTATTTTTAATTTATTGGCTATCTCAGCTATTACTAAGATAATTCCTCTACTATTTAATTGTTTCTGCCACTGTTTAATTCTGCAGAAGGTATCAATTTCTTTTCTAGGATAGTTTTCCTTCTCTTGATTGGAGATCTTTTTATCTCAATTTTATTATCATCTAACTGTGTAGGCAAATTATTATTGCTTTCAATATCGGATATTGGCTATTATGTCTTGTCAATCAGGTTTCCATTGTGAGACTACTATAGCATCTTAATAGATAGATCTTTACTCAGGTTAGATAGCTACTTCTGCCACCTGGTTTATCCAATAGGTCTTAAAAAATTTGGCTAAGCTGCATAAGGATCAAGTAAAGCTACATTTTTGCTTTGAATTTTTAGGCTTAATCTTTAATCATAAGGATTAGAATTAATAGGGATAATGTTGGAATTTTGGCGATTACTACTTAATGACTAATGCTAATAAGGAAACTTGTTCTCTGATTAGAAACTTTAATTTGTTTTAGTAACAGTGGTATTCATAATACTTGAGCCAGTGCTAACAATTTCTGGGAACTTAAGCTCAGACTGTTAATTTGAATTTCCTTCTTTTGCATAAGTTGAAAAACCTCTAGTTGCTCTATTTGAAGGAGTATTATTGCTCATTGGAGTCTTTTCTCTTGTAAAGGTTGGAATATTAGTTGGCTTCTTTATTTATAAACCGAATCCACTCGTGGCTGTGCTATTTTGGAATTTCGCAATTTTATCAGGACTATATGAACTATTTCTGTTAACATCCATAGTCATTCTTTTTCTCAAAGCCATCAAATCAGTGAGCTATCTGTGATTCCCTAATCTATGTTAGCTTTTAGGATTGTCTTCGTATTATGATTTAATTTTTTGTCCTAGACTTAATCCTTATATATTAGCCGTATAATATTCGTTATTATCTTCATTTGCTGGTGAAGATTTATTCTAGATTAAGGATAGTATAGGTTAATGAGATATCTAATTTTTTTCACTTTATGAATCATTAAGATTGTCATCATCTTTCTCCTCTTCAAAACTGTAATCATCTTTACTTTGATCTTATTCTACTATATTTTTTAGATTTGGATTTAGATAGTTGCTTGCAGATTAAATTTGAAGATCTTGCTATTTAAGATTAATTGGAATAGGTATCTCTTCATCTTCTAATAATTCCTCTTGACCAAATATGCCTTTGTCTTTGCGTCGTTTACTTTTTCTTAAATCTACAATCCAGGGATGTTCCATAATTTCTGGCATCGAAATTCTTCTTGCAGGATCCTTATCAAGCATTCTGACTAAAATATCGAAACACATGTCACTAATTTTATGCTCTTTTCTGTCAATGACTAACTCTTTTTCTATGATCTGCTTCTTAAGTTCATCTTTATTACTGGATCTGAAGGGGAAATAACCTAACATAAGTGCATGAAGCATAATACCAACTGCCCAAACGTCAATCTTTGGTGTAGATTCTGTGAAGCCAATCAAGACTTCAGGAGGCATATATTTTAGACTTCCAGCGTTACTCTTTTCACCATTTTAACCCCTGGTTGAACCAAAAATACCAAAGTCCACAATTTTAAGTTCAACATCATAATCTTTATTTTCTCTTATCTGATCTCTTTAAGAATTCATTCGATCAGTATGTAAAATTGATGGAATTGCTGATTAAGGTGGATTACTTGATTTCGTTAGCATTATGTTTTAAAACTTCAAATCTCTGTGAATGATTTTGTTACTATGGCAGTATTCAACAGCCATTAGAATTTGCAATATCAATTCCTTGGCTTCATCTTCATGCATCTTGAGATTTCTTTTTGATTGCCAGTAATCATATAGTTCACCTCCTTGTAGATATTCCATGACCACGATAATTTATTATTTTTTCGGTAGCGGAAAAGAATTATACATCTTAACAATATGTTTGTGTTTTAGTTTCCTAAGTGCTTCTATCTCCTTTGTAATCATGTGCGGACTAAGTGGATGATCATTAGAGTTGAGAATCTTTACAGCAACATCTCTTTAATTTAACTTATCGTAAGCTAAATACACTGAACCGAATCCTCCTTAGCCCAATTTTCTTTTTATATCGAGAAATTCCATGCAAATTGAGTAGTCAAAATCATCAACTAAAAGATAACGGTGCAATTGAATTACGTTAAGAGTAAAATAGTTAGTCATTCTAGTGCACAGTTTAGAAATTATCATAGTCTAGGAACTCAAGCCCACTAATATTAAACAGTCTAATGCTTTTAGAGTAACCATGCTAATAAAGTCCTTCTTGTTTTAATCTTTTGATAATTTTATCCTTAATCTATGGGACTGTATCATAGTCTAAGTCAATTTCAATTTCAAAAATGGGGTCGATGCAGCTATTTTTACAAATTTTAACCTATAAGATTGTTGTAACTAATTAACTCTTACGTTTATAAGAGATTCATCTTTATTATTATCCCTGTCAAAGAGCTTCAATATAAAACTCATTTTTGCTAATAAAATAATATAGCCTTTCAACTTATTTTTTAATTAACTTTATTAAAATCATCATAATTTTGAGAAACGGGGTTTTGGGGTTTTGGGGTTTTGGGG